AATAAATTAGTAGAGATTTAATGTGATCTGTCTAACACTAATATGTTAGGTAGTAGTCCTTACCGACGTCATCCGTATAAAAAAGTAAGCCAAATTGGATCAAGACAGACCCACCACTGACCGCCGCTCTCTCCGATCTCGATCCCTTCCTCTCACTGACAAAAATGGATCAGCAGCAAGAACTCTCAAGCTCCTAGTCGGCGGTGGCACTGATAGTCGGAGTAACAGGCATGGCTGGCTTGAGCATAGCCGAGTCCTTAAACTCCCCCACCGCCTTGGGCGGACCCTGGAAAGTCTACGGCTCGGCTCGCCGTTCAATACCCACCTGGTTCCCCTCCTCCCTCCTCCACTCTTACATCTCCTTCGACGCCGCCAGTCTCCCCGACACCCGCCGAAAACTCTCTCCGCTCTCCGCCGAAATCACCCACCTCTTCTGGGTCGCTATACAAGTCCGAGAAACCGAAGAACAAAACATCCTCGTCAACCAAACCATGCTATCCAACGTCCTCCATGTCCTAACCTCCGGTTCAGGATCCAGGCTCCGCCACGTCACTCTCCAGACCGGCACAAAACACTACATGGGTCCATTCGATCGGGTCCTCCCCCTTTCCCAAACTCTCTCCCTACCCTTCCGCGAGGACACACCCCGGTTACCGTGCCCCAATTTCTACTACGCGCAAGAGGATTTACTCGCATCCCACTCGCCGCCGCTCGCGTACTCCGTCCACCGCTCTTCAATCATCATCGGCGCGTCGACGAGGAGCTTTTACAACTTCCTGCTCACCGTCGCGGTCTACGCGGCGATCTGTAAACACGAGGGCTTGCCGTTTCGGTTCCCGGGAACTCGTTACGCGTGGGAACACTTCGTCGACATGACGGACGCACGCGTGTTGGCGGAGCAGCAAATATGGGCGGCCGCGACGAGCCGGGCGAAGAACGAGGCTTTTAACTGCACGAACGGAGATGTTTTCATGTGGAAGACACTGTGGAAGGCCCTGTGCGACGTGTTCGGTGTTGAATTCGTGCCGTTCGATGAGAATGAGGAGTTCGATGTTGTGGTCGCGATGGAAGGGAAAGGAAAAGTGTGGGATGAGATTGTGCGGGAGCATGGGTTAGAGAGGACCAAGATGGAGGAAATCACATGCTTCGGCGCGGTTCGTTATGTGTTGAGTTTTGGCTTTCAGCATGTTTCGAGCATGACCAAGAGCCGGGAATATGGGTTTTTTGGCTATGCGGACACGTTGAAATGTATTAGGTTGTGGGTGAACCGGTTGAGAAACATGAAATTCATACCTTAATATTTGGAAACTCTTAATTTAGTTTATTTTGAAAATAATTATATATATATATAATTAAAAGAGATGGGAATTCTGAAAAAAAAAAAATTAAAAAATTAAAAAGAAACTAAGAGTGAGTTAATTATATGTGCACCACACAGACAAAAATCATGTATGGACAAGTTTGTCGTTCTCATTTTTTATTATTGAAAAGCTGAAGTTACGAGCATACGAGGGCCGCCAATGATAGTATCACCATGTGTACAAATGTCATCAGCACAGAAGAAAGTGCTCCTCTGATTGCCGCAATCTGTACTTTATATCCAGTAAGACCTACTCGCAGAGCTGCACCATCCAACAAAATTGATTTGTTTCTTAAAATAAAAAGTTATATATTTCAATAATTTTATTACTTATTTGTAAATTACTCCAAAAAATTGAAAATTGGAATTGATGATTCCTCGCAAAAAAAAAAAAAGAAAAAGAAAAAGAAGAAAAGATGTATTTAGTTATTTGCAATTACTTCGTAAAAATTGAAGGAATGAAATTTTTTGATTTGTTAATTACTTACAATGCTATCTTGACCAGATGTGCAGGTGGGTCTTCTTGGTGGTAGTCGTTGGCGTGGTGTTCTCTGTAAATTTTTCGAATTGTTTTAATGTATAAATACATATATATATATATATTAATTATAATTAGAATAAGTATATGTGGTAATTAATTTATTAAGAAGCAAACACAAGAACGAAGGTCGCACGTTGATTACCTGTAATTTTGGTCTCAGGGTCTCAATTGCTACTGTTGGTCTTTGATTCACGGCAGCACCTTGCTGTTCCAACATTGACCAAAAATCCAAAATTGCAAATAGTTCACTACTGATTTAAATCAATATATACCCTTAATCTAGATGTATATATGTAAAGGCTAATAATGTGTATAGGTATGTATGCACCTTATACAATGCCCAGTCGGCTGAATCGAAGAAAGCACGTTCGTGGTCCTGAACCCATTGAAGAAAAGTTCAAACAGTTCATTCTATACATTATATACGATACTACTTATTTGCTATGCACTTTAGTCACTTACTTTTGAAATTAAAGGCTTCTTTTTCGGGGCGAGTCCTCCATATTTCTTTGTAACAGCTTCCTGATTAAATCGTATAATCAATTGTAAAATTATATAAAACTATATCTTAAAATAAAAACCTAAATTAACACTATATTTTGAACAAATCTATTTTATTTTAGAATTCGTATATTTTAGTAATACTTTTAGTTTATTTCAAATTTAAGCTTGGGCCTAAAAATTAAGTTCAAATGTAAATAGTAATGACTATTACACGCACATATAAACACCACGCAAATTATATAATAAATGAAGACAAAAGAGAACATAAAAAAAAAATGAATGAGTAAAAATGTCAAAGTGATAAAGTTGACATCCTAACTATAGGGCGGGCATTAATTTTATTTTATTTTTTTAATTTTATTTATCAAATTTTTTAAAATAAATATTCGTATTTATTAATTAAATCATATATATTAATTATAATACAATTTTTTTTTTAATTCAAACTCACATAATCTGACTCCTCGGAATTCAATCAAATATACTTCTTTCGTTTTGAATTACTACGACCAATCGTATAAAACTATATAAATAACGATTAAAAAAGACACGGTTCAAATTCATAAAGCTATTACTGTTATGCAGGACACGTACTGTTCAGCAAAGGCAATTAAAATTGAAACGTGCACTGCCGACATTTTCCGAAGAAACAGAGAATGCCGCCGCTTAGTCGACTGTACGTCTACGTAAAGCTAACGTATGTATTTACACGACATATGATGGAGTGACGTGTCAAAATAACGTCCGTTTGATGAGCGAACCACAGGCCCATCCAATCATGGTGGACACGAGCACATGCAATCACTTCGGACCATATAAAATCCAACAAAAACCCAATTTTTAGAAAGAAAATTCAAATTTTAATATTACCATATAATTAATGTAATTATATTTAAATATATTTCTTATATTTTGTATTATTACAAATTAAATGAGAAAAATATTTGTTCCGTTAATCCCGTGAGTGGCATGGATGGACCTTCTAGAATGACCGTTTCCAAACAGTGTGAATTGACTGTTAGTACACGAGTTTTTGTAGACTGAATTTTAAAATTTTATATTAATATTTTTATTTCAGGGAGGGGAGAAAAAAAAAAAAAGTCTCTTAAATCCTATTATTTCAAAAGATAAAAAATAAAAACGACGTCGAATTATGAAACAGTACTGTACTGGTTTCTATCTGTGTGTACCTCAATGTCCTGTGAAGCATAAAAGTCCTGTCCTCTGTTGCAGTCCGTCATCTCTAACTTGTCCTGTTAATTAAACCAAAGTCCAACCATCATTAATCACTAATTAATATAAATTAATCATTCTTATTTTCTAATAACGAATTAATCTTCCGGTTCCGTACTGTTTCCAGGTTTTCATCGAAGAAGACGACGCAGAGAAACATAGATACAGATACAATAAGAAAGCACCAAAACAGAGCTTAATTTCCATATTTGCTATAACTACAAATCAAATCCAAAAGTACCGAAAACGCAAAAGTCGATAAGCTACTTGCTGAAATATCGCAGAGGAAAAATAAGAGAGCACCAAAACAGAGAGCTTAATTTCCATGTTTGCTATACCTACAAATCAAATCCAAAAGTACTGAAAACGCAAAAACCTACTTTCAGAAATATCGCAGAGAAACAGAGACAATAAGAGAAATACAAAAGTGTCTAACTAGTTTATCTACCATAACTACAAATCAAAGCAAACGCACTCAAACAACGAAACGAAGCCGATAAGCTACCCGCGGAAATGTCGCAGAGAAACAGAGACAAGCAATAACCGGAGACCAAAAGCGATAAATCAGTATATTTACTATAACAAACATCAAAAGCGAAAAAGCAGTTAAGATGCAAAAGCACAGAAGCTGTTAATGCAAATGCAAAAGGACGTACAAGCAGAAAACAAATCAAACCAAAACAAAACCTAATTGGAACGAACACGGAGAACCGAGAGCCCCGCACGTGTCTGCTTGCGTGCGCGTGTGTGAGAGAGATGATTTTGGCATTACCTTGGGGAAGAGAAGAGGAGGAGATGCGGCAGAGAAGATGAAGAAGGAAGCAAGGGTAGAGAGAAATGGAAGGAGGATTGAGTCACAGGGTGTGATAAGAATATATTTTTGTATTTATTATAGAAATAAAAACAAAATCTAATTACCAATCTCATCTTTTTTTTTTTTAACACTACACGACAAAATATATTTATTTTTTTATACCAATTTTAATTTTTAATAATTATTATTCTCCCAATATAAAATTTATAATTTACATAAATTTTCAAATTCTAATTTTAATTCGTATAATTAAAATTGCGATATTTTTTTTTTTTGGTAAATTGGTGAAAATGAATATTTGATTCGTATTTTCTTCCTTAATTATTATTTTTAATTATTACCGAATATTATTTTATACTTTCTAAAAAGATTTATATGACGTAATAATTTAAGAGATTTATAGTTTATGCCGTTATGATATCGGTATCGGCCAGTTCATACCCAGCCAAAAACTCCGTACGTTCTCTGGCGCGTGCGCGCACAGCACCTCCTCATCTCACCGACACCTATCCGACCATTTCGATTTTTTATTTTTTATATTTTCTATTTTAAACTTTTAACCATTTTTATTAAATAAATAAATTATGCTTTGAGAATTCGATAACATTTTCAATTTTTTTTAATTAATAAATTCAATATTTTATGATAAAATATAATATTAATTTATTATATATTTTTTAAATAATATATTATTTTCAATTAAAATACTAATTTAAATTAATATTTATATTCAATAAAATCGGATTCATCAGATATCATGGACGTCTTTTGAATACACGTGTCACAAACCCATATGCTGCATTTCCAAAGATTTCTAAATCATACGTCATCTTCATCAACAAGCTGATTAAAATAAGTCAACTGACTTTTTTTGGGGGGTACACAATAACAAAATGAGCCGCTCCTTATAGAATTTACTCTCTGGAGTACATTTTATAAAAGTAAGACTCTAACCGGCAAGACCTTTTGTTTTTCGGCTGGTTCGCTTATTGATTTTTCCTGTCTTTGAAAAATTCAAACTTAAATCCATCTCCTGTATGAAACTTATGATGTTTTCTTTTCACTAAGGTTTAATATCTTTCAATGTTGTTTGAATTGAAATGGAATGTTTGAGGTCGCCGATGTGCAGATTATGTTCGCCTAATGGAATTCTTCGAACTCCAAATTCGTCCGCAACACTGAGATGCTTGCAGGCATGGACATCAATCTTGACTCTTTGTTTCGATCCTGCCATGACGTGAACCTTTTCGAAGCTCACTAACTGTTTGATCGGCGACCCTTTTGATTTTTCGGATGGTGCTGAAAACACGAGAAGAACATGAGCTCCATCCATAGGTCCAGTGTTTATAACATCAACATGTATGGTTAATGGCTCGAGCGCATTGCAGTTGGCATGTGACACTCTGATTGTGTTGGTTGACATGGTTGAGTTTTTCGTTGCGAAAAGACTGGTGGCAGTCGATGATAGAGGAACTAAAACTTGAGTTGGAGCTGTTGATAAACTATGAGTAAATTTTGTGTAACTCAAGCCATGCCCAAATGGGAAAACAACAGGACCTTTGTAGAACCTGTAAGTTCTACCAGGATAGTTTCCTGATGCTCTCATATCCATTCTTGTCATTGGTGCTTTAGCCAAATAATCTTGTGGGTACCATGTCATTGGCAATTTTCCCCCTGGATTAGTTGTTCCGAACAAAACATCAGCGATCGCAGCTCCTCCGGCTTGGCCTGGATAACCAACCCACAAAATGGCACCAATTCGAGGATTGTTCTTCGCAAATGACACATCGACAGGGCTGCCGCACATCAAGACCAAGATTACTGGACCTCTAGATGCCATGGCTGCTCGTTCCACAAGCTCTTGCTGGTGTCCAGGCAGGAGGAGGTTGATCTTATCTCTTCCTTCTTGTTCAATTGATTGGTCTAGTCCCATTATTAGTACTGTTGCATCTGAGTTACGAGCTGCTACTTCTGCATCGTGAAACTTCTCATTACTAGGGCAAGCAACACCATTACATCCTGGCTGGTGAACAGCTCTAGCGTATTTAGATATTCCTTGTAAAGGACTTGTATACCCACATGGTACTCCTGCGAAAGATATATATTTATTCAGTGAAGTTTATAGATTATATTTATATATGTTAAATTGGGTTTTAACTAATCAAATTACCTGCATAGTTTCCAATCATGGTTTGAGTAACATCCGAATTGGGTCCAATCACTGCAACATAACGATGTCGTGAAGTGGACAACGGCAGCGATTTCCCAGTATTTTTTAGAAGAACGATTCCTTGTCTGGCAGCCTCAAGAGCGAGTTGTTGGTGAGCCGGGGTGCAAACATGTTCTGGGCCAAGATGGCCGTATTCTTGGCTTGACGGTTCACCATCAAACATTCCAAGTCTCATCTGAACAGTAATTGTGTATTCCAAGGCTATGTTAACATCTTCTTCATTCATAAGTTGTTTTTTTATGGCTTGTTCTGTATGCACAGCTAAAAACGGTCCGCAGTCCAAGTTCAAACCTGAAAAGAATGGATTTTAAGTTCAAGATCACAAAAAAATTAGAATTCAATGAATTTCCTACTGACCAGCTTTGACGGTGATCGCAGCCGCCTCCTCTGGTGTGGCCGTGTAGTGTTGATCGGCGTACAGAACCTCAACGGAATCACAATCGGACACTATATACCTGTTTTCATCATATAATAAAATCAACATGATCAGGAGCCGTCCGTTTAGTCGACCAAAAAAAAGACCAAAGATGTTTCCAGGGTCAAGATTACCCGTCGAGACCCCATTGACCACGTATAGTGTTTTTGAGGAGATCAGGATCGGCACACGTGGGCTTTCCATTTACTTGATTGTACGAGCACATCACACTGGCAACATTCCCTTCTCGAACACACACCTTAAATGGCACGTTGAAGGTGTCCTCCAAGTCTTGCTTGCTTACCTGGACCAATCAGAATTTTTTTAAATTTAATTAAATATAAAATATTTTTTTATAAAAATAAAAAAACCAAATACTAAATATTGACTTTTTTTTTTTTTTACCTTCGCGTTGAAATGGAAGCGGTCCACTTTATTCCAGTTATCAAGATCATACGCGGTGTAGTGCTTGCAGCATGCGGCAACCTTTAACCGGTTTTTCCCGGTAATACTTTGAAGTCCCCGGACGTAACTAGCGGCGTATTTACCGGCCATTCCGGGATCTTCACCGGGAGTTTCTTGGCCGCGGCCCCATCTTGGATCTCGGAAGATATTCACATTAGGGCTCCAATATGTTAGCCCTGCCACCCCCCCATTGTACATTGCTCTTGCTTCATCTGACACTACCTGTAACATTTCATATATACATATTGAATTTGTATATATATAAGATAAGTATTTCATTTCACGTTTACGATGAACTCCAATTTACGCAGCCTAATTCACAAATTCACGAGAAGAGACTGAACTTTTGTATTTAAAAAATATTTCAGTAGGGATCTCTGAAGTAAATGATGGTTGATAGAGTAATTCTTGATCATAATCTCCAATATGCGTACAAAAAAGAATTTGTGATTGGTAGTAAAACAACGATTCTCCTGTTGAGATCGAATTCTATCTTCGTAGATTTCTCGATAAATTTTCTTACGAAATTTTGTTATAGCATCTATAATTGCTTCTGATTTACGTGGACAGTCCGTCAAATAAACATCCACATGAATTAGGTTATCAAAATTGAATTAATTCAATTAAAAAATACATAAAATTAAATATTTATCGATGGGTGATGTTGGTCTAACACTCAAGTATGGAGCTACTGGGATACCGAGAAACGAAAGTTAAGAGAACAAATGGGAATAGATATCGAGTAACGATGAATGTTGCCGGTACTAACTCTTGTACTGTTGTAAGTAATAGGGCGTGCACAAATTACACTTGGTATAGGATTTGTACAAGATTAAAATCTTTAAAATATCTTTTGAGAAAACAAAAACAATTGATGATATTTTCTGGTATATATGAGGAAAGATGACTTTTTCAAGGCTCTGTTTGGTCCACACACAAAATTATCAATTTATAGCACTGTGGGTATGGCCCTAAAGTCTCAAAAATGATAAAAATCCAAACAAGGATGGCCGAAAGCTGCTTATCACTAAAAAGATACAACGAAATCGACAGCCAAATGTGGTCCAAAAAAGTATACAAATATTCTCAATTATAATTTATTTTAAAAATTAAATTATTTTTTATTCTAAGATAATTAAAACCCAGAAAAGTAAAAAAAATAAAATAAAAATTTGATAATTTAAAATATTTCTTACCCGTCCGATTTGTACCCACAAGGACTGATTGAAGGAAGCAGCGGTGGTGATGACTTGAGGGAAGCTGGTGGCTCCGGGAAACTGGCTGCCGAACTTGACGCCGGGACCGGTGTTGGAGACGCCGTGAAGAGCCTCCGACCACCACTCGTACCCTTGAATTCCCAGCCTCGGTACCGGAGCTGCATTGTTCACCAGCAGCCTGATCTTCTCCTGCAACGTCAGCCGTCCGATCAAGTCCCGAACTCTCACGTGAACCGGTAGGTTCGCGTTACAGAACTTCTGAGTCCTCGTCAACCCGTTTCTCGGGTCGCATGCAAATGGAGCCCGACCCGACACCCGACTCAAAACTACTAATAACATTACTACCGCTACATTCAGCAGCGTCCTCATGGCTTTGAGTATATACATATATAGCTTTTGTCACTGTAACTATATATATGTGTGTGTGTGTGTGTGTTATGTTTCTGAAGAAGAGAGCTTGGAAATGAAATGGGTATGGAGGAGAGCTGAGTTCTGGTTTTGGGTGGAGATACATGCATATGCAGATATATATATATATACACACAAACACAGAAATTGTAATGGATAAAGAAGGGTTCGGTGTAAATGGACATGATGAGTAGGATTCATTTGTCAATATCCAATTTTCTAAGTCACATCCTCCTGTTATGGAAATTAAAAGATATTAATTATTTGCTGTTTCTAGAAATATATTTTTTTCATATATGGGAAAGAAAAAAAAAATCTGATCTTCAAATGGTAAATAATTAATTAGAATTAATGAATCCAATTATTTATGAGTTAATTAATTAATTAATTAATTAATTGCTGTTTATAGCAATATATTTTTATATATGGAAAATAATCTGATATTAAAATGGTAAACAATTAATTAGAATTAATAAATTAATTCATAGATATAGATTAGATTTAATTAAAGAAAATAAGATAGGGATAACCCACTTCAATTATAGTAAATATTTTGTTGGCCCTAAGGTGCATGATGTTTATACGTTACATATATATATATATATATATATATATATATATACACACACACACACATATATACATATATATATTTACTGCAGTCAAAATATTCTATATTTAGTTTCTGTTAGTTACCAAATTAATGTTTTTATACATTTACAGGCTAAAATAAGAACATTAAAAGATCATTGAAAAAGGAAAAAACAATCTATAGATATTAATAGATATATATATACATACATACATATATATATGTGTACGTATATTCCATGTTCCTTAAATATTGGTGATTTCTTACTGGGTAATTAGTAAGTAGTACTAAAGAGTCAACAGCAGCCAGCAGCTATAATATATATATATATATATACATATAATGTTATTCTTGTTCTTTCACTCTTGATCTGTGTCTAATATATATATATATATATATATAGTAATAATTTTTTATTTTATTATTATTATTATTATTTGAAAATTAATTAATAAATAAATTAGAAAAAGGTGACGGACAGTTGGGATAACGAACATTTTGGAGAAACCTTGACGACTTGGAGAAGCAACAAACCAAACATCATTTGATTTGTCTGTTTTCTAGTTAATGTGTTACGCCATGTTCTCATGTATTCTCCTGTGGGCCCCCACTACTTACTGGAAAAAAAATAAAAAAATAAAAAAAGATTAGGTTTCCACGTCATCATGTCTACTAATCATGCGATTAGCAGGTTTATTCTGATTAACAATTAATTAATTAATTTAAAATACTTTTTGTTTTTTCAGAAATTCTGAATTTTCCCATTAAACACGAGTATAGAATCTTGTGAACCAGACAAAGGAGGAGTAGGTTCAAAGTACATCCTGTCTGGTGTTGAATTATTTACCCTAATTTAGACTTTATGGGTATAAGATATAACTAAAGATATTGTATGTACGTGTATATATATGTATGTGTATGGATAATTTATGAGTTGGGTTTGGGTTGGCTTGCAGCCATTGCCAACCGGTTCTAAATACATATCCAAAAAAAAAAAAATCAAATCTTTGATAATCTGCAATGTAACGTGACTTTCATGCATGGATGTTCTGGTGGGTACTCCTTATTGCTTGTGAGGATATATTTAATCAAATAATAGACTTGTAGGACCATTTATATATCGTGTGTGTACATATATATATATGTGTGTGTGTGTGTGTGTGTGTATGGAGAAGATGGAAACAGTTGGTTGCTGATGAACCAGAAGAAACGGCTGAAACTAAAATGCTCAGTTGGATCTTTAATGAAAACTTAATGGACCCATACCACATCCCTTTTTGAGGAGGTTGGATAAACTCATAAACCCTAATCGTAAACCATGACTGAGTAACGAGTTTTGATTTCTTATTCACTTATGATCAGAATGAATAACTTTTTTCAAATCTGTCAATAACATGGGTGAAGAAATTAATGCGGATATGTATGTGTGGATTGGCTACAACATTCTTATCCTTTAATATTCTATATATATACATATATGTGTGTGTATTATATGTATATATTTCCATCAACTTGGCGTATAAAGATCGCCTTTGCCTACTGAATCAATATGGAGCTTACCCTTATCTTCTCCCTTCCCTCTTACTTTTTCCCCTTCTAATTTGGAATCCTCTTTAATTAATTAATTAATTAATTCGTCATTTGAATTATTTTCATTAACAATTTTTTCTAAGTAAGACAGGCAAGATAACACAGAGGGATCTACATTATTACTTAAAGTAAAATGCAAAAGAATTTAAAATGGTATTTTAGAAAATAGAATTCGAAAGAATGGTAATAAAAGCGTATAAAAATATTTTTAGAATGAACGAAAATTGATTCTCGAATGCAAGAGTAAAAGGGAGTTCGACCGCAAGGACTCACGTGTCGAAGAGATAAAAGTCGATCTTAAGTAATCCGACGATGCCACCTTATAGGAGGTCGAAAGATCAGACTAAATGATTTATAAAGACATGATTTTCGATCTCGAATTTTTTTTATTTATTTAAAAGAGAGAGAGAGAGAGAGAGAGAGAGTTTGAGTCCAAAGTGGAAATGGTTTCCCAGTTGATTAAAACTTCTAAGAATTTGATTATGACAAAGACAACTTGCAACATTGAAAGAAAAAAAAAATGATTGGATCAAAGTGGATATTGAATTGGAAACTAGAGGATTAATGATTGATGTATCTTAAACTTTCTTAATTATTAATGGCTGGGTGAGAATAAGTTTTAATTAATTGCTTGCTAAATCTATTAATTCCATATTACACACATATATATATATATATGGTCTATAACTAAAGACAGCAGCAACTAGTTTCTTTTATATATTAAGTAATGAAAATTTAATAGTAAATGGAGAATATATTTGAATTAAATATATATATATATATTTATTATTATTGTACATTTTTCTGACTAGAGTTTTTGGTCACATTTTTCATAGTTTCAACCTCAATAACTTCATCTTCCTAATCAAGAGAATAGACTAACAAGGCAACTACTTGCAATAATGGAGGGGGGAGCCCACAAAGCCATGGATGCTCGGGCATACCAAGATAAGTCAGTAGTAGAATACTATCAAAATCTATTTGTCTTTCTTGGTAAATAAATAGATAAAATTTATAAAAAAAAAAAAATGTCTTTTAAAATATATGAAGATAAAAATAAATTTTTACATGTTTTTTTGAAAAACTTTATGCTTTTTTTAAAAAAAAAAGTTTGGTATTCCAATATTATATTCAGATAATTTTATTAAAAACATGTTTGATTTTTAAAATATTGAAATTTGATTTTGAAATGTAAATAAAATTTCATATTTTAGTATTTATATAGAGTACTTATTTTTTTGCAATAAAATAATTAAATTAATATTTATTTATGAAGAATTAAATAATTTCATACTATTTTTTTTGTTTTTTTGTTATTTCAATATGTACAATTATTTGTATCAAACAGAAGATAATTGTATTTTTGGAATTAATAATATTTTTATAACTATTTTCAATACATGTAATATAATTTTCTCACACACAAAAAAAAAAAAAAAAGAAAAATTTTTATAAAACTTGGGCTAATTTGTTTTGAGCCCACGACAGAAAGATTCAACAACAAGATGCAAGGTTAGTTTGGAAACAACCAACAACTTTTTCAAGCCTCACCGTGGAAATCAGAGTTTGGACAAGACCATAACATGCCTTATCTTGAAAAGCTAAATGGATAAAATGAGACGAGTCATACAAACAGAGTCAACTACTGACCCCACCCATTTAAATTTAAAAACTTTTTATTCTTCTTAACATAATAAAAAAATTGTTCGGGAAACAGAATATACAGTATTATTTTATTTGTATTACAGGGTCGTAGACCCAGCAGTTTCCCTTTGGGCACAGAACAATAAACTTTATCATAGAATTAATGCAGTAATCTTCCACAATACAAAAACCTGTATTGCATTAAACCAGCATAAACAGTAAAGAAATTTTGTATATTTTTTTTTTTCATCATCATCAGCCCGATTTATTCAGTTTTTTTCATTACGTGATTTACAATTTACTCGTCTCACAACTTACTCACCTTGACAGGTCCGAGCTCTTTGGCTTTCGCTCTCAGGATGTGTTTCTGAATCTTTCCGGTAGCAGTTTTTGGCAATGGTCCGAATACTACTGATTTCGGAACCCAATAAGCAGGCATCTTCAACCTGCAGAATTTCATTATATCCTCCGCTAAACGATCTTCATTCGATGCATTCACCCCTGACTTTAATGTCACAAAAGCACAAGGTGACTCTCCCCAACGCTCGTCCGGCCTAGCCACCACTGACGCCTCCAATACCGCAGGGTGTTGATATAAAGTATTCTCAATCTCTACACTACTAATGTTCTCACCTCCAGAGATGATAATGTCCTTCGATCTGTCCTTTACTTCGATATAATTATCCGGATGCTTCACGCCAAGATCTCCAGAATGAAACCACCCACCAGCAAAAGTCTCTGCATTAGCTTTCGGGTTTTTCAAGTAACCTTTCATCACCATATTGCCACGCATTACTATCTCTCCAACAGTTTTTCCATCAGCAGGAACAGGTTTCATGGTTTGCGTATCAACAACATCAACACCTTCCAAGCCAATATATCGCACGCCCTGACGGGCATTGAGGCGAGCTTGCTGTTCTGCTGGCAGTGAATCCCACTCAGGCTTCCACGCACATACAGTTGAGGGACCATAGGTTTCTGAGAGACCATAAGTATGGGTGACTCTGAAGCCTTTTTGAGACATAGCCAAGATTACAGAAGGGGGTGGAGCTGCACCAGCTGTATTTACATTGACAACATGGGGGAGAGGTAGAATTGTATCTTCAGGTGGTGCATTGACAATGGAGTTGAGCACCACAGGGGCCGCACAGAAGTGAGTCACCCGGTACTTTGCTATCGCAGAGTAGACTCCTTTCGCTGTGACCTGCATAAATGCCAACAAGATTTCAGCTGGACCGACACTAAATTAAACCAGTACTAACTGTTGACAATTAAGCCAAGTTCATTGTGGTAGTGTGTGATAAAAGGTAAGACAGACAACTAGAAATCATTTAGCAAAGAAGACAAAGAATTTATGTAGTTTATTCAAGTGAACGTACTCCATAAGAGTGATAAATTTTGAATTCAGAATAAAGTACTTCAAAATTACAATGCATCTCTTTCTTTTAAACAGAAATTCTAATACACTCAAACCTCATAAAGTTTCTTAGAAATACACTGTAGGAATAATAATACATATATGTAGCGAGCTAGGGAAGAAAACCCATAATAAGACTGCAAGAAATACCCTTCATCTACATAGAAAAACCCTGCTTACTGGTAATTTAATCTTCAAGACACACTCTAACATCCACCTTTTTTATTCTTGGTCATATGAGTGGTGAAGCAAACT